TAACTAAAATGCTATTAATGTCTTATTTTAATCAAGATGTAAAAACCACTGTTCATGAAGCCAAGAGAATTTCTTCCAGTTTAATATTCTCAGATATTTACTAAATTGGAATATAATTTAACATTTTATTGCCTCATAATGTTATTTTATGAGTAAATGTTAATTTTTATTTACATTCTAGCAATGTCTATTTTATTGGTTTTGAAAGATAAGAATATATAAGTTCCATTCATAGCAGAAATAATGTCAGGCAGGATATTAACATGTGTTGTTTTTCCAGGGTTAAATTATACTATTCTTTTTGTGCAGATATGATCTAAATATTTTGTTTAGGAGATTTCAACTATCTCAACTAAGCCAGTGCCTTTTAAAGTAATGCTTTTTAATTACAATAAATCAGAACTAATATAAGGTCTGAACACTTAGGTTCAGGTTATCTCTATACATACACAAACACAAGTACACGCTATATGTATATATTCACATGCATCTGTTTATATGAGTACTCCATATGTTCAATGCTGTTTCAGGATGTTTAATCCCAGCACTTGGGAGGCAGAGGCAGGTGGATCTCTGTGAGTTCGAGGCCAGGCTGGTCTCCATTAGCGAATCCAGGCCAGCTGTGGCTACAGGGAAACCTTGTCTCAAAAAAAACAAAACAACAACAACAAAAAATAGACATTTGAAAACAATAATGAACCTGAGGTAATATTTAATTCTGCTTGAGTAGTTCATTGGTAATTTATTTACTAGAAGCTTCATTTAATGATAAAAGAGCTTACAATAACCTTAAAGCTTCTTCCCTGTTCAGAGGCCTTGTCAACAAAGCAAGGTGAAATAGAATGCCCGGTGATTATCAAGATCATACAGACAACTCTGCCTCACTTGTCTTTTAGATGAGTCTGAGTACAGTTATACAATTTCAAGTAGCTTTTGAATTAAATCTTTTCCATTTTTGGTGGAAGCTGCTTTAAGCAGGCCAAACTTGTCATTTACATTTGAGTGTTAAGGAAAGTCTGAAAGCTATGAAACACATGGAATACATATAATGATCATATTGTCTATTTCATGAGTTTTGACTATTATGTTTTAATCTTTAGTTTCCAAAACAGTAGAACAGTGCAGTAGAGAAGAACAATTTGTAGAAGTGAAACTTGGAGTTGATGTCAAAACTGGAACAAGTTTCTTAGAACTCAGCTTAACTTTGGTGCCTTAGACACAAGTATTTAAGTAATAGATAATCAAGACATAAGATTTTTGTAAACTGCACGTTTTAACACAAACCAGAGATTGTAATGATTTTCATAGTGGAAGTAGAAAATAACTGAAAACCAGTGACTTAGAGAGTTAGAAAGGAGGAGTAAGGAAGGCAGAAACTGAAAGAACAGAATGTTTTTACACAATAGCTTGAATAAACTGATGAAATGTGGTTCAACTAGAGTCAGCACGGTTGCTAATAGAAAGGGAAGCACTGGGGTATGTGAGAGCGCTGTGGGTTAATCTTTCGTACATTTTGTAAGATTAAAATGATCTCAGATCAGCTCAACAGTGCAAATTACTCATGGAGATAAATCTTACAGTTAAATCAAGACATGAACTAGATTAAGAAATATAGTGTTACCAGACCCAGAAAAGGATAAGCTTTTTAAACAACAGATGGCCATTTTCCATAATTTGGCAACAAACAAAGCAAATGTAGAGAGTAAAATATAATTCTTGCTTAGGCTTTATTGGTGTTTACTAAGACTAAAGAGAAGAATTCAAGGCACAAAGTAAGAATGAGAAGTGTGCAAAAGCAGTGTAAACTGTGAAGAGAGGGTAATAGCAGATTTGGAAGACAGAGAAGGTAAGAGGAGGAGGAAGAGGAGGGAGCAAGAGGAGGGGAGGAGGGAGGGAGAGAGGAGGGGGAGGAGGGAAGGAGAGAGAGGAGGGGAGGGAGAGAGAACAGAGCTATAAAATCTTTCTTTGTGCAGTTGTGATTTGCCAGTCAATCCAGGACTCTCTGGAGCTGGTTGTGGGTATTTAGAGATGTATCAAAAGTTGAATGACATCATCTTAATGAGAGTGTAGTTGATAGATGATCTGTGATTCCATGAAATTGGAGTTTTGGGGACATAGAAAACCCTATCCATGTCCAACCAAAGAAACAACAAAATAAGACTAGAGATAATTTATATTATGAATTAAGAAAATTGGGGAACTCCAAATGCTGAAAGATGAAATAGTGAAATGGATTGTGGAATCTCCTCTGTGTTAGATTGGTTGCTGGTGTGGTGGCACTTGACAGGCAGAAGGTCATGAGTTTGAGATCCAGACCAGTATGAGTCAATAGTGAGACCCTGTCAAAAGAGAAGTAAATGTCTATGACAGAAAGCCCTGTTACTAATATTTTAGTTGGTCACAGAGAAGGGGGAGGTTGAGCTTAGTAAAGGCCCACTAGGTTAATTTGTTTTCATCTTTTCAGGTTTCAAAGAATAGGCGAGAATTTGATGTAAAGGTCCCACTTGATCTACTTTTTAGAGACTAGATCTGTGTGAAACAATGAAAGGAAATGCATGCAGAGCTAGAGGTGGACTTCTGACAGGATTCCTATGTCCTCATGTCCAATAGTAGTTACTATGAAGGGTTCTCCAAGTTATCTCTCACTTTATTGAAACATTCTTAGCTTGACTACTGAAAGTCATTATGCTTTTGTTTTAGCTTCTTCTATTAGAGCAGACACTTCTTCTACTGCCCTTTCACTTCCTGTATTTCTTTCTTACACAAACCTGTTCACAATGCAGACAGTGCATACACACGAGGCTTCTCTAGTATTTACACCAAGACAA